ATCCCAACAGACTAAAGGCTGTAATTAAACCAAAAGGTGATTCAACAAAATACTGACACAAGGGTTGATCCTTTTTCCAACTCAGTGATTCTGTTTTTTTATTTTTTATGACATGTTGGTGTTATATCTTTCACTTGGATGTTATAAGTTGCACTGAGTAAATACGGCTGGATAAAACAAAAACTGTGTCCATCTTCTTTTCAGGCTGCAAAGCAACAAAATTTTATTATTTTAAAGGGGGGTGATACTTTTTAAATGGAACGAGACTCTGTGTCGGAACACTTTGGGAATGCCTCTGTGTGACCACGTTCTGAAGCATGTGTGGAATCAGTCCAATGGAGAAGTGAGACGCCACGAGCGGGGTGACGTGAGCAACCAGGAAGCTTAAAAGTGCACCCGGCACGGCGCATGTTAGCTTCTGATAGGATGAAGTAAGCCCCTATAGGGATGCAGGGACGCCCTCAGGGAACTCGATCTGCATTGGAACGGTTTGGGAATGAGAATGCCCATTGCGCCATACTAACAAGTCCCTGTCTGGTGTGTATCAGATTAGCACATCAAGATGAGAAGACTTGGGATCCTGGGGTTAGAAGCCAGGTCCAGATTATACAACTGAACAAATGTGTGCGGAGAGGACCAGCCCGCCGCATCACAAATGTCCTGCAGGGAAGCACCCATGAATAAGGCCTTGGAGGCCACCATACTCCGGGTCGAGTGGGCTCTGACCCCCATAGGTGCTGGGAGGCCAGAGGACTCATAAGCAAGTGAGATGGCCTCGACCACCCACCTGCTCAGGGTCTGCTTGGTCACCCGAAAGCCCTTCATAGGTGGTGTGACGAGTGGGGCGGGGCCGAGAGCCGTGGGAATGGAGCGAGGCCGGTGGAGTGATTGCCCACTCGTCACAGGTGGATCAAAGCAAACATCTGATCTGCCTTACGCCACTGGCCAGCTCTGTGGACGTAAGCGTCCAATGCTCACACTGGACAGAGAAGATTTAGCTTCTCCTGGTCAGCTTTCTGGAAGGGAGGAGGACAGAAGGCTTGCAGCACTATGGGCCCTAGCATAGAGGTGGGCACC